AATCATGTACTACTTTTGCAGAGGACTGGATTTTGGTTCCTAGAACCCATGTTGTATATCTTACAATTGCCTGTAACTCCAGCTCCAGGGGCATCTAATACTCCCATAGGCACCTGCACTCAAGTGCAGATACTTACACAGAGACATACACATGGGCGTGCTCGCATGTGCATGCATGTTGTGTGTGCACGCATACACAAGCCCACAAGCACACACAAGATATGTTAAAATGCATTTGCATGTGTTATACTAAAAACATTTTGTAGGATGGAAGATATAAGGATGATAAGACATACTCTGAAGTATTCATTGTAGAGAATTATAGATGGGCACAACAGGTTACCACAAACAATGAGGTAGTAAAAAAGACAGGTACTGGTGAGGTGGTTTGAGTGTTCCAGAGAGAAGCTCATCCAGAAACAGTGTAGATGTATCAGAGAAAGCTTAAATAGTAGAAAAACAGGACCATCTCTGCTATCATGGAGCTTCAGCTTTAGTGAATCTCAGCGCTTTCAAAGCATGGGAGATGAGCATGTGTGACAATTATCTAGTGGTGAAAGTGGACACAGCATCTTGACTCTCATAACCGTGGGAAGAGAGAGAGAAGTGGGAACAGGTGGTTACTGGATTTTTGCCATGGAGGATGGTATGATACATACGAGGGTGGAGAATAAAGCAGAACAAGTAAAGCAAACTGTTGCATACCTGTAGTGTTAGTTCTCAGGAGGGGGAGGCAGGAGAATTGCTGCAAGCTTCAGGCCATCATGGTCTACACAATGAGCACCAGGCCATCCAGGGAGACCCTGTCTTTAAACAAACAAACAAAACAATGGGAGGGAGTTGAGCCTTTGGGAGAAGGAGTTTTACCTTGCACTTATTGATTGAAGTAGACATTTTTGCAAGGCGGGCTTATCACATAGTTGTTATGTAAATCAGAAGAGCAAAGAAGACACCCATAGATTCGAGTTTACTTTTTGTATGTGTTAAGCCGCTTTACACCAGTGAAAGGAATTGTCCAAGGAAAATGTCAAAGGTAAGAAGAGGCCTCAAAATATCTCAAGATCTAAGGTGTAGATGGAAAGAATTAGATATTTCCAAAGAGCGGTTTGCAGAGATAGGGCTGGAAAAGTAGGCACAATAATACTGGCTAGTTCTCTCGGCATTTGTTCCAGCCAAACTGTAGCCATGGGTTGTCCCAAGCTCTTAAGAAAGAAGTGTAGGCAGAGTGAGCTACTGTCCTTGTCTTGAGATGGCCTACAGTCAGGAGAGGCCACGGCTGCCCACTACCAGACGCCAGCAAAATTCTTTCAATAAAAAGTACTATAACTAAAACTCTGAAGAAAGAACAAACCAAATGTGGCTTTTTCCTTCATTCTTAAGAAGTGAAACAAAAACAAAAACAAGAACAACAAAACCCCCCACAAATATTGGAAGTGTTGAAGCAAGAAATAATGATGAAAACTATTGTTGCTTCAAGGATTTTAAATTGCTGCTTTTTGAGTCCCTAGAATTGGAAAGAAAACATGAGTGGAGTTAAGTCACTTTATGTCTAGATATAACATTTACACGTTGTCGTAGAGCTTTGTGACGAAGTGCCGCCTTCAGCTGACTCATTCCACTTAGCACAGTCCTATTTGTAGGGTATCACCGCATCATCCAGCAAGTACAGACTCAGTGAGCTCAGACATCTTCTCTCTGGCTTTGTGTCTAGGCCTGTAATTATCTCCTAGATTAGTGATTCTTATACTTTCACAGTCACAAACTCCCCTGAGAATTTGATGAACAGTTACAGACATTACCCTCCCCCCACCCAGGAAAAACATACACAAGTAAAAGTATGTAGGTAAACATAAAAATTAGGCTAGAAAGTATGCACATAAACACAAGAATTAGTAAAACAGACACATTCCCCCCCCCCAAAAAAAATAGTCCATAGATGGAATAGGACTTTGGGTTAGGGCCTTTGTCTTAATGGTTTTCTCCCAGATGAGAACATAGCTATCACTCATTCTGAAATTATATCCACTGAAGACAAGAAGCTTCATTGAGACTTAATTTAGAGCCATGACTAAGATTTGCTGTACTCAATGCACTGTTGATTTTATTCTGTCAGCCTTACTTTTCAAGTGGCCCCAAGCAACTTACAACTTCACAGATTTATGTACTTAATCACATGCACATATTTTAATTTTAAAATAATGATGCTGTTTGGCAAGACCGCATATAGTCAGAGACATGTGTTATTATAACTGAAACTCCCGGGTAGATGGCTTTTGGGGGAGTTCTTTCTGATTAGGTCTCTCTTACATATTTATACTGGAGAAGTTCATGAGCTGTTTCTGATACTTGGACTTTAATCTTGTTTAACGAACTGAAGTAAGCACAATTCTTGTTCTGTTTTGGTAACCCTGTGGATTTCTTCTGATGCTCAGTTTCATGTGACTACACCATTCTTGAAATGCTAATACACAATGCTAATTCAAGAAAGAACCACAAAAGTTAGATTTCATTTCAGAGAGCCTTATTCAGTATTCACAGGCCTTCTGGAAGAGGAAGGCTCTGAGAAGAATGATATTAGGTGGAAAATATGGGTGCCAACTTTTGGTGAACACACACATTTAAACATATAGGTTGCACAAAATTTGGATAAAGTGAGGTGGAATCCAACACTTCTTGCATGAATGCCTGTATAATGTGGCCATAGCTGTGAGAAAAGAGGAGCCCCGCATCTAAGACCCAACACAATGAAAATGCAATGAATCGGAATGCCTCACAGATCATAGCGGAATCAGAATTTCCAGCAAGGAAAATCTTTTCATGGTGAATTAAGTGGTGGATGAAGAAAAATGGTGATGAAAAAGGTAGGCACAGATCACAAACACTGAGCTCAGGGCTCACCGCTGAAGATTTAAGAACCTTAGCTAAAGCTATGCAGAATAGAATGTGGAAAATTGAATTTACTAAACAATTAAGCATTGAATTAATCTACATCCTGCACAGTAGAAAAGTGGGGGAGGGAGCAGAGCAGAACTGAATAAATCAGTGGAGCTCATTAAAAGATAGTGAGTATATCAGTTCTGTTGTGGCAGAAAGGAGGGCAGTTTCCTGTATGACATGGAATGCGTCTCTGGTTCTAAGTCACCTTTTTAGAGTCCTGCTCTTAATCAGATTAACAGACGTGTTTCTGATGAGGTTAGGCTGCTGCTCTGTAGTTTCGCTTGTTATTGCTAGCCTTTCTATTAATTACAAGTCAGATCACCAGTCAACAATAGTAGTGAGGGACAACATAAAGAAAATGAGAGTGCCCAGGAGACGCCTCTCGCAGGATCTCATGCATCCTGAAACTCCCACGGGCTCTTGCAGCCTCCCACATGCCTTGCTGGTCTTTTGTTCAATTACAGTTAATGCAATAGTTTGCCATTTTCTCCTTCTAATTATATTTTCAAGTGGGATTTGTAGCACACAGAAAAACATCCTTTTACATGTCGAGGCACCGGGGTTTTGTGCCTGGCATTGTCTGTCCCCTGGGTGCTGTACCATTCTCTCTGCAGAGCTCTGAATAAACAAGTCCCCCTTTTAGAGCTGCAGTTGTACAAACTGAAAATTTATGCATTAACTGTTTGCATTCTGAGCATGTGTCCCAGATTACATCTTACAGCATTCTTCTGGTATGCTTCAAAATGTGTGTCTGCACAAAACACTTTCACAGTTCACATATCTCTCAATCACAGGATCCTTAGATCAATTAGCACTGTTTTTGAAAATATGCATAAGGGTTGACTTTAAACATGCAAGTGATGTGTTCTGTGGCTTGATTCCATTTTGGGGGTAGCACCAGTCTCCATGCCAAGAGTGGAGTGAGGTGTCCATTGGAGGAGCATTGGGTCTCCCTTGAGGTTCCAGGGCAAGCAGGCCTTGTGGACAGGATCTTCATTTTCTTGGCCCTGGATGTGTGAATTGTTTGATCTTCTCAGCCCTTCTTATTGTCTCTGGGATAGGTATAGCTTTTCAGGGTATAAAGGAAGAACAGGGATTCCGCTGGGCATATTCCACTTGTGAAAGGGTCAATCAACTTCACTACACCAGCGTCACCAACCATGACCGTCTAGGCCTGAAATGATGTAGACATATTTTACACATAAGATCATCTTACTTTTCCACTAATAATCTTGAGGACAAACATCACTTCCCAGCCAAGAGCCAGCTTTCTAGTCTTCATCACTCCTACTTCAGGGGATGACCAGTGACTCATGAGGCTGGTTTTGAAAGCAAGCACTAAAAGCTCATTCAAGTCTTTTCTGGTGATAAAGGGAGATTTGGAAGAAGTACCACCATGATTGTTTTCCCTAAGAATTGAATTTACAGCCAATCTGAATGTTACTTTCAAATGCACCCAGTGATAAGAAGCAACATCTGTTTTCTGTTCAATAGTACAAGAAAGCTCGGCATGGGGCCGAGTGTACACAGTCCGTGCCAGCCTATTGTTAGCATTTCTTTTTTGTCTCCGAGCCCGGCCCATTTGCGGTGTACCATCAGGCAAACAGCTGACACACACTAGCTATTATGGATCCAGGTCAGATTGTGAGCTCTTGAAAAGCCCACCAGGTTTGTCTCCTTCAATGAAGCAGAAGCCTCTGGGAACACAGTGTTACAGACCACTCCCTCCATTTTGCATTTCTAGGGTAGAAGAGTGCTCCACCAGAGGGTTCAAAGGACAGTCAGACTCAAGTGTTAGCAATGCCCCCTTTGTCTAAAATGGTTTTATTTCCTTGTGAATAAGGCATATGATGACTTACAGGCTAAATATTATAACCTGGAAGCTGAAATTGGCAGAATTTGAATATACCTATGCATCCCTGAGCCTATAGGACCAGTTTTGAAGAAGACTGGGAATGATGGCTTGTTGTCCCCTGTAGCCTCCCCCGAATTGTCATTGTCTGATGGGATCACACCCTGTTAACAGATGGCTTTCACTCAGATTTCTGATTTGTGCCCCACAGCCCTCTTGGAATAGAGATCATGATGACACGGCTTCCACTCGTTCAGGAGGAACCCCGGGCCCTTCCAGCGGTGGCCACACTTCACACAGTGGGGATAACAGCAGTGAGCAAGGTAGGAGAGGTGTTCTCATTCTCCCTTGCCTCTTGCTTCGTGTTCAAGGGTTGAAACTGTCAGGAAGTCAGTTATTATCCGTAGAGCTTCTCTCAGAACATAAATCCCATATAATGTTAGAATCTGTCCATCTCCTTCAGTCTCTGGGCCCAATTCTTCAGTGCCATTCCAGTTGTCTGTCACCTGGTCACCTTCATGAACCAACTGAAGCAAGGTTAGAGAAATGTGAACAAGCAGCATGGCACTAATGCCATGCTGTGACTTCCTGGGGCTTTTCAAAGGAGCATGAAGAAGCCTCCACTAAGAGTCCAGATAAAAGATCTGGAGACCTAGCTCAGTGGTAGAGGGCTTGCCTTGCATGCACTCGGCTGACAGTTTGATCCCAGCACTGCCAAAAATAGAGTTTGTGTGTTGGGGGTGATTCTTAGAAGGTGATCTGGCAGCCTCTCATTTCTCTGCACTGGGTCTGAGGCTATTTCTTCTGGTTATACTTATTTGACTCTCTTTGAGGTCTGGCTTCATTGCAAAGCCAGATTAGACACAGGAGGGAATGTACTTACTGTGTGTTGCACTTTGGAGCTACACTTGTGTCTACACAGAGATGTTCATAGACATACATGTTTTATGCTAACTTGTAAGAAATTAAGCTTAAACATCATAGCGGCCTTCAGCAACAAGGAGACTCAAGCTCTGAGTGTTTAGGAGGAGGGCCTTACTTCTGAGGTTTTGTGTGTAATTAATAAAGTTAAAGTTTGCATCTGCCTATGAAAGACTGCTCTGCTAAAGTTGCCTCTGAGTCCACAGTAGGTACAACCTTAAAATTTGATTTTGTGATCATTTTTTTTTTTTTTTTTACTGGAGTATTATTCAGAAAAAAAGGAATTTGGCCACCTGACCTAACTGGGACACAGTGATTAGAGCTGCACACTCTACGATGGATTTAGCATGACTGACTGAAAAACAGGAGCAGGGAAGTGTTTTTTTATTTTTTTTTAATTTAGGCATATGTGTGGTATTTTCCCCAGAAATAACTTCTGCAAACATAATTTTAAGCACTGGAGACATTTTATTGTTCAAAAAAAAAATGCTGACTTCATCAGAAGTAGAAGCCTAGTAAAAATGGAGCCTGGAATAGTAAGCCAGCTGAGAGCTGAGGTAGAAGAAAGGTAACCTCTGACTTCTGACTTTTACTGAAAAATGAGATGCAGCATAAATCCAAGAGGCTTTTTTTTCTTCCAAGCATGCATGTGTGTGTGTGTGTGTGCGCGCGCGTGTGTGTGTGTGTGTGTGCATGTGTGCGCTACAGCATCGCTGTTCAGAGTGTGCAGGTAGTGTCAGCATTTTCCATCTGAGGCCTGGCTTGAAGAATTCCACTTACACTCTGAGTTTTCAGAGAGGTGTAAATGCAATCTAATTTCTTTCTTCTATAGCCCAGAACTGCTACATGGGGTCACAGCCTTGTGCTTTGTTTGTTCCATTTTTGCTTTTGTTTCTTGCTTTAAAGAATATATATCATCCGAGGATCAGCGGGTCGTTTAGCCAAGGCATAAAGGCTTGCAGACTGAGGAAATGTACTGGAGCTTAGGACTGGAATGCATAAGCTTTCTCCAACACGATGGGAGGATTTTTGGAAGACAAAGATTCAGTGCTATGCCCTTCTCCCTCCCCATAGCTGTGATCAGAAAATGGGAGTTTGAGTGTTTCTTTCATTGGACCAGTGATCTCTGGAAGCCCAGATGCTGGTGACCATGTGTCTCCAGGGGCCGCATACCCCGCATGTGACTAGCTTTCCACTCCTGCTGTTTCATCGAAGTGATCTCATTTGTGTGATCTTAATTGAAAACAATCTGGGTTTGGAGAAATGGCTCAAGTGGTTAAGAACATTGCCACTCTTGCAGAGGGCCTGGGTCCCATTCTCAGCACCCACATAAAACAGCTCCTAACCTCCCCTGGCTCTGGTTGCAGGGAACCTGTCACCCTCTTCTGGCCTCCTTGAGTACCGTACATATGTGGTACACATACAGATGAGCTGGCACATACAGAAATGTGTAAATAAAAATAAATTTAAAAAGTTCGAAAATGAATCAAAACAAGCCTAGTGTCAGGCAAAGCTCAGGATGCCAACACGGGGTAGATAGGTTTATGACGTGCAGAGATCCCTTTGTAGTGCAGACTCACCTGCCACAAATGTCCTGCCTGTGAGATTCTCCTCATCCCACCTTCATCCTCACCCATGCACCAAAGAGCCAAAGCCAAATGCTCCTACTCTGAGCAGACAGGAGCTCTCTATAGTGAAGCTACCCTCCCCCACTAACTTGTAATTGCAGGAAGAGGAGGCATAACTTTAGTCTTCCTTGCTTTCCTAGTGGATTTTATTTGGCACAGAATGTTATTCCTGTTGAATGCAGAGTGATGCCTCAAAGTGTTGCTAAAACAACTTGTGGGCATTTCCATGCTAACCGGGACCTTTCTAAACCTGTTTCTTGATCCCTGAGGCCTGTGGAGCTGAGCTTTTGTGCAGCTCCCGGATTATCTGCGTACAGTGGCGTTTGCATGCTTTCCCTGTCTGCCCTTCTGGCAGGTCTGGAAGTGGAAACTGTGCCATCATTTGGTTCACAGTACATATCCTAAATAGTTATTTACACAGTTTGAGTCCATTTTAGTCAACTGGATAAATAACAGCCCCCTTAAAAAGATTTATAAATCCATAAATATGTCTTCATACATATCCAATAGACAGAAATAACTCAATCTGTCAAGAACATACCCAAAGAGGTGTTTTCCTCACAGACAAGAGCAGCACCCATTTCAAAACTTTCTCCACTGCATTATTTGAATTGAATTTATTTTTAGTTTTTCATCACTTCATTAGGGTACCTGTGGAGCAAAATAAATAAATGGGTAGATGGATGGATAGATAGACAGACAGAGAGATTAAAAAAAAATCCCTTCGGCTTTGGCCCTCTGTTAAATAGCCTGTCTTCTGCATGGTATAGGTACTAAGCAGCTATGTACATTTCAAATGAGTCCCTTGATTTTGAACCTTCAAAGAAAGTAAGTCATCCAGGAAAATTTTAGCTTCCTGACAATAGCTCTTCCTTAGAGCTCCAGCAATTTGGCAATTCTCAAATACATTATCCTATTCATGTTAATAACTGTTATAGTCAATGAAATAATTTTAAGACAAATTTTTTATAAGAACAAATAAATCTAAGAGTAGGCATCCAAGAGAGAACATAGATAAGGTATATATGTTATGATTCAGGGACTTAACGTTAATTCATGATTTCCATGATATGTGTATGTTGTTTTTTTGTTGCTGTGGCAAAACATCTTGAAACAACAACTTTAAGAATTTATTTCTGTTTTGACTCACTTCTACAAGGGGGGTTGAAATTGTGAAAAAGTCATGCTCATGTGCACCTCCATTGCTTCCGAGCACGTGCTTGATGAGGCAGAGAGTGGTGTGGCCTGGGGGAAAGCAGTGTATCACTTCATGGTAGACACAGGGCAGAAAGACAATGAGAAACAGGAGAAGACACACTCTCAGGGACATGGCCATGTGACCTACTTCCTCCAACCAAGCCCCACTTCCAAACCATCCATCCAACTATGGATTTGTCAATGAATTAATCCATTGATGAGCTTAAAGCCCTCATGTCTATTTACTTTTCAAACGCCCATCAGCTGACAGCCAAACCTTTAACCCATGAAGGGGCACTGCATATTTAAACCATAACAAGTTTCCTTTCCTCCACTGAAATTACTTATCATGACAACTCTTCCTATGTCCATTGCTTTCATTTCACATTAACACTTGTGACCCCTTTCCGGAAATTGATTCTTTTACAGAGAAGCCCCTTAAAGCTGGCATTTAGAAGGCAGGACTTTACGTCTGTGGTTTCTCTGGGGATTGTGCTGCTGTGGCTGTGACACTGATTTAGTTTCTTCTGTAACTTCCTTCAAAGAATTTCCAAAGACATTACAGTAAATTTTGTTTTATCCCTCTTGGCTCTTTGCTAGCTTCCCATTTTGCAGGAGAAAAGGGAAGTAGAGGAGAAGTACTACAAGGTTGCTGTTGATTCAACTGTGAGATTTTTAGACTCTGGGCTTTGTAAGGGCATTAGAACAGGGTGTTACCAGCAGTCCTGTGTGATATGGCTGTAGGCAGTGCCCATTGGCATGTGTGAATCTCTATTGTAGAAAGCAGTTTGGAGTAGAATGGCTAGCCAACCTAATGCCTCTTTGCACAAGATCTAAACTCCTTGCTCAGGGATGCTGCAGCCATTCTGCCTCACAAGCAGCTTTAGCCATGACTGGCAGAATGATGAATTTGGATATGTCTCCTTTCTTCTGGTCCGAAGTCAAGAGGGCTGAGTAGCTGATATAATAATAGCACAGAACGCAGGGGTTATTGCTTGGGTAGGAATTCCCAATCTCCCATCATGTGGACCAGGCCATGGAGGAACAGAGAACCTAAGAGATTGTCAAAGAGAAGCTAAAGGCCACATGTTGGTTGTGATGCTGTTGGTCTGACCTCAGAACCCAAAGTCCTGATTGCCACGTGGTTTGGTATCTTCATTTGCCTTAGGAGTAGGAAAACAGGCTACTTGTCAGGTTTCTTTCTGTTACCAATAATGTTATTCTTCTCTTATGTGTACACTGGTCCAGTGCTGGGCTCGGTTGTGGTGGCCTCAGTGATAGGCAGGGGTGATGCTTTGCTGAAGAGTGAGGACCTAGCTTTACATTCTATGAGGAATGATAACTGTGCCAGATACAAAGAGAGCACAATGATTGATATGATTAATTTGTATTCTGTATTAAGAGCCTATACTACTTCCCACCTTCAAAGATTTATTGAATTGAGAATAAAAGCACAGAAAACAAGGCAGAATATTCCTCTTGCAGAACATTTCCCACTTAAAGCTCATTTGATTTTCCCCTTTTGTGAGGCTAAAGAAAAAGTATTATTTTGACACTGGAATTTGATGAGAAACATT